GTGCGCAGTGCGCACTCACGCGGCAGTCACGCCCATCGTACGTGTGACGTGCCAATATACTATAGTGACTAAGATTATAGTTTCCACCTCTGATGATTTCGAATACTTTTTTAGAATCCTTGTATATTTTCAAAAAGAGGTATAGTTTGAATACAGCCTTTAGCTTTTGTCCACTTGAAATTTAGAATGGAAAGGTTTTTCATGCTGTTTTCATTGCCTTTTATCTGTATATTTAATTTTTAGCTTGTTTTTTATCAATTGTACTGACAACTGATCTTTTTTCTAGAAATTTCTAATTGACGATGGAGCTGGACTCCAAAACATTTTATTTAAAGATGTGGTAAATTATGGTGTAATTTTCTTTGCTTTTGAATGTCGAATTACTTCCTCCAAGGAGAGTCAAAATCGGACAGAGGCTCATGTCACTCTCCAAATAGGAAATGAAAAATAGAATGAGTTTTCCGTAACGTTGAGTTTTCCGTAACACCGCAATGGAATGAGTTTCCGGTGATCTTCTATCACCATCTGTCCGGTGATCTTCTATCACCATCTAGGTTATCATACGTCACCAGCTTAGCTTGTTCTGTACCCACATGACCGCTCGTCAGTTGTAGCGGTACTGCCTAGCCGTCATCATGCTAGTCCACTCCTCCGGCACATACTTGTGCTGTACCTGTCAATCCCCTTCCATCTGTACTCACCGAGCCAGTTCATTATTATAATAGAGCTAGTGTTACCGTGTGTTTCACCTGTTCTGCCTTAGTCCTAATTGGAACATAAAGTACCCTGACTCTCAGTTAAAAATCCATCAGGTGGTCACAGAACCGACCACCTGACAATATTTCTAATTTTTGTGCAAGAATTCCGCAAAAAATTCTTTGCATTCCATAATATGACCTAATCATATGGCTTCTATCATAAAAGTGGGTTTGAGAGATCCTCATCAATAATGATTAGTTAAATTTGCGAATTATGAAAATAATTCGCAAATCTCTAAGATTATCCATCTCTAGACCTCCTATCCTTTGATGGAAAAGACGGGTATAATATAAACACCCTGCAGATGGGCCATTCTATAGAGAGGACAATATAACACTGGTCTGCAAACGACAGAAATTATGACCATCTTGACTGAACATTTAAAAGAATCCCATAAATAGAACATAAAAAACACTCAATATGGGGCACTCCTCTAGATGGGGCATGAACAGCACTCCTCTAGATGGGGTCTGCCTCACAGATCACCCTTCGCACATCACTGCACCAGGCGCTGCTGAAGCGGTACATCCACGCGCAGTTCAGCTCCAGGCAGTTCTGCTTGCCAGGATTGTCGGGTTCTTGCGGTCCACTAGACGACTGCGCAAGAATAGAGACAAACATCTTCTATTGTTTTGGTTGCATCAATGTAAGAATCAACCTGGATGATTATTGCAACAATCATCCAGGGTGTTGATTGTTACATCGTTTGCATCAGAAAGGCAAATATATATTATATAAATTTCAGTATTTCCAGATATATTACATGATCCTGGATTCTTCAAAGTTTCGTATTACCAAAATGACTTTATTCCATCCCAGGTTTTAATTTTTCATATATACCGTATTTTCGAATACGTACATTTCTAATTGAACTCTTGCAAAATTCGGTATTGTCATAAGTTTGCGACAATGCCGTTATATACATTGCTCCAGAAATTTTAGTTAAATGCATTTATTCAATTTATCTTAATGATCAAATTTTCAAAACAGATCTGACTGGAGACCCAATGCACAGTAAAAAGAATGTTTCTATAGTCAATTGATTCCAGGAATCAATTGATTTCAGATATCTATGCTCGAGGAAAATAACTTTTGATTGAAAGTTTATACATGCATAAAAATAAAAGTGTCTCGGTCTAAAATTAGTGAGTTGAGCAAATCAAATCATGCACTAACTACTGTCTCTTATACACATCTAGATGTGTATAAGAGACAGGCGTTCAATAATGNGTAATTTTTTTAAGATATCAACCTAATATTGAGAGCTAACTTCTGAAAATGAAACAGGAGAGCCAAAGTTACGTACAAACTCATTATAATATTTTACTTAATACTGCAGTTTGTTCGTGAAAATCTTTCAAGTGGATTAATTTGGCAGTTGATTACATAAAATAATCAAAATCTTAGAACAAATTCCTCCACAAAGTGGTTACTCTCTCCACTTTGCTGTCCAGGTTACCTTCCAAGGCTTCAAAACAGAAGAGTAACTCACCATCTACTGAAGGCCTTGAGCAAAATGGATAGAAAGTAGATGGACATGAGTTGTCTCGGAATAACCAGCCCGAGGAACGTTCTACATAAGCACAGTTCTGTCCCGTTCCACCCGCAGGTTCAGTTTCCAAATTCTCTCCAGCATTCTGAGGAACATATCTAACTAGAGGGAGCTGTTGAAAGTTTTTTGATGAATTGCATCACATGAAGTACTCAATACAATGGTTGGTGCAGCTGTAATATTTCTATCGCTAAATACTGAATGCAATTACCCAATATAGATTTCCTATACTACCCAAATAATAATAAAGGGTGGCGCACCGATGGTTATAGGTAGGCATGGTACATTATATGTTGCGAAACGATCCTTGCTACGCCTTGCTTGTAAAATGTGTTCCGGTTAGATTGCTAGTCAAAAACTCTGTTATTTTCGGAAAAAATGTCCTCTTTTCACTGAAAGATACAAAGCAGTTCTCTATGGACTGACATTGATATTGTAATTTATCTACTTATGAGAAATTAACTTATCTCGTCACATAATTATTTTGATTTAAACTTTACATATATAATAATGTGGTCTCAGCATCATTCCTACGTGACAGATTATCCATATATTAGGGTAGAGAAAAAACATCGGCACGGATTTTTGGAAGAATTTCACCCTGACATTTCAAAACCGAGTGATGTCAATTCCATCCTCTAAACATTCCTTATTTTCCACAAAAATATGTTCGTCGAAAATCTTTCTAAACTTTCCTTTTTGAAAATTATATAATTTTCAAATAAATAAACTTCGATAGATAATAAACGAAATTTCTTTCAGCTGCCATTTTCTGAAACATTATAACGTGTTCGAGTAAACATGCGGTTAATGGAACCATCTAATCAGCATCATAGTTTCATTTATTAATACTAATTTATAAAATTAAAAACTGCAATGCAATACTTCAGTTTAATCTCTCAAAATGACTCTTTTGGTAAGTCCTCTCAGAATCTCCGATGTCTCAGCGGTAGAGGCTTGGTTTTGCGTGCGGGAGACTTGAGATCGATCCGAGCAGACATGGATTTTTCTCCAAGTCGATTTCTCACGAGTTTTGTACATGGCGCTGTGATTATTTGTTCCTTCTTCATTTCCGACATTGTTGATGGTATCGCCTTGCTTGATGTGTATACGTAATCCTCAAAATGTTTGATCGTATTTGGAAGGAATGTCGATCAATGTGAGAATGCACAGGCTTTGGATTTAAAACTAACGGAAAATTTCTATCGACCTAATTCAAGAGGTGGTCATTGATGGCTTATTGATTCGCCAACAGTGCTCTCGACCTATAACTTCCACCTATAGCCACCAATAATCATCGATGCTCCACCAGTAATTTTTTTGGGTAGGTCGAATCAAACACAAACATAAGATAAGTGAGAATAACGACTTGTCTACTAAATCTTATTGTTCAACCCTATTGCATCTAGTCATGACTTAGTTGAGCTTCATCCATTTAAAATTTTAGCATAAAAAAGCTTTCTTTTAGCAAATATGTTGTGTCATGAACAGAAAAAAAACATGGATATACTCACTCTGGCCCAGTACGGAGCGCCCATTTGCACGGCCGCTCCGTCACTCCACTGCCAAACATTGGTGAGCGTTCCATTGGTCGCGCCCAACCAGTAGCCGTTGTTGAAATCAGTTGTGTCTGATGGAGTGCAACGTTAATAAAAATAATAATGTGTAACTATTGTTATTATTACGTAATAATAATATTAATATAGTGCTTTCAGCGTTGATTCGGTACTGTTGGCCTATCGCCGATTCTTAACTACCCGGCCACCTCCTCGAGTTGCGCGGCTGTTGCACTTCCAGCAGCTTCTCGGTCACCCCAAAGCCGAAGGGGTACAGCCACCTGACATTTTCGGCTATCACACAGAAGATGTGTGTTTTGCACAGGTCAATTATGAGTGAATAAGTACTGCAGTATTAGTGTAGAATCAAATTCTTCCACCCGCGGCTAACAGGGCATGCCAACTACCAAGTTTACAAAAATCAGCGTAGAGGCATGCACAGTGTTTGTCTAATGATAATATAGTCATAGAGATATTGTAAGAAAATTGAACAGAAGCCCCATTACAGATGAATTATGTTCGCTGAAATTCTGGTCCCACTAAACATCAAGTTGATGCATAGGGAAAGACTTTTTTGCAAAAATTAACTTCTAACTTATGAGGGTCGACTTACAATGTTTCTAAGATGACAAACATTTTGAAAACAGAAGTTTTTAACTCTGCAAGTCTATTGACTTTAACATGTTTTTCTGTTATAACCTTACATCCATCGTTGACATAGTTGGCGACATCAGTGAAGGAAGCGCAGTCTTTAAGCACAGGCAGCCTGCCGAAGTTCTGGTAGCAGTAAGTGGCCGCTTCGTCGTACGTCAGATATCCACCCGTGTAACGGTGGATGCACTTGGACCCGACGACCTCATAGCCTTCAGGACAGTCGGCTGCGACAGCGCCTGCCAAATGAGAATTTGAAGTTGATAATACAATCAATTTGTCATGCGTAAATTATAAGAAAACTTCAACAATAGGTGAAAAGGACAACCAATGAAGGCTTTAGGGTCATTCCATGTCAAGTGAACTAAGAGTAACCACCTGACCATTTTGATAAAGGATCAGACATATTTTAGTTCATATTTCAACATGAATTGGCCCAAATTTCAGCTGAAAATGTGAAAAGGGTGAAAAATGTCCCCGATCGCGCGGTTCAAAATCTCCAACTTCAGGTCACTGCTGTGCTAGCCACTGATTTGGAAGTTAAGGTGTCTGCAGAGCTCAAGAAGATGCTTATAAAAAAATTTTCAGTAGTTTATTGTTGATAGATTTTGTGTGTAATAAGGTCATGCAAGCTTGCTCGGAAATCAAAGGAGCAGAAACAATTCACAAGTTCAGTGCCCTGTATATCAGAGGAAAATGTATAAATCTTCATGATAGCTGTACAGTTTATTGCCAACATACGTTACATTGTATACATAAAATATTGACTAATAATTCACTCTGGTTTTTCAGTGAATTTCATCCTAACTTGCTAATAAAAGCCTCAGAGATATTTTCCGACAATGTTTGAATAGTTACA